CATTGCTCTAAAACTATAGGCAGAGATGCCACCATACCCTGAAACATTTCAAAGATAAAATCTGGGACATGTGTACCCAAGCAACACTGCAGTGTGATCAACATAGCGCCTTTGCAGACTGCCAGAAATAGTGCAAATTGAGTCCACTTTAACTGCTCTGACTCAGTGCTGGGGAATCATGGGAACTGTAGTTTATTGTGGCACCAGAGCTCTCTGACAGAGAAGGCTCAATGTCTCAGAAAAAAATACAATTCCCATGATTCCCTAGCACTGAGCCGGGCAGTTAAAGTGGACTCAATTTGCACTATTTATAACAGTCTGCAAAGGTCCATAGAAAATGATAATGAAGAAGAGCACACATGCTAGAAGGGGCTGCAGCAGTTTGCTTTTCCCTGAGCCTACTGGGAAGGGCAAAATCCCATCTCCCCCTTTCCTCTCTCTCCCTCATGCTGAGTTTAATGCAAACTAATTTTACACTTTGAACTCAGTTCACAGTCTCATTAATGTTTTCCAGTTCTTTCATAGCTGCCCTTCCCAATCCCAGTTTTCTTCTAATTTCTTGATCAGTTAGGGGGGATGCAGACAGCCAAAAACGCCGTCTTCAATCCCAGGAAGGGGAGGGGCAGCCGGATGCTGGGCACTCCATCCCATTCCTGAGAATGTCATCGGAGCGATGGCTCATCTGCATGATGGGTGCTCCGATGATGTCCTTCCAGCTCAGCATCTGGACATGCTGAGCCAGAAGAGATGCTGAAGACGCAGCGGCCCTTTCGTGGCTTGTGGAAGGAGTGCTATTTTAGCACTTCTTTCACAGGCGGTGAAAGGGAGAATTGAGGCCGAGGTGTCCAGCAGTCTCGGCCTCGATCCTCCGCTTTTGGGGGCAGCCCATCTGCTTCCCCCCTATATTTCTTAATCAGTCATTGGTTTTTTATTTCTATTTTTTATTTTAAGGATTTATATCCCACATTTCTTACACAATGGGATTCAAGGCAGGTTCTTATCAATATTTAATCCACATCTGAGTAAGAGAGCCTTAAATCTCACCCACCGCAGCAGCCCTTTTAAAAAAATCCTCCCATGTATCTTTAAAAAAGAAAAGAAAAGCTTCCCAACCACCTTTTCCCCATCTTTCTTTTTGAGCTCCTGCATGGAAAAAGTAACTTTGCAGTGGAAAAAATGGCTAGGTAACAGGGAGATTTTGTCATTTCATGTATTCTAAGACCCATTCATCTTTTTGGCCATCCTCAGCACTCTTTTCCAGCAACACATTTCAAATGAGTTGATTTTTCTTCTGTCAGTCTTCTTCACCAGCTCTCACATCTGTCCGTGATGATGGGAAATACTTTAGCGTTCAGTTTATGTCTTTGCACTTAACAATCTTGTCTAGTTCTTTCATAGCTGCCCTTCCCAGTTCTAGTCTTCTTCTGATTTCTTGACTGCAGTATCTGTTCTGATCAATGATTGATCCAAAGGAACTCCTTAAATATTTCAATTTTTTCATAATCTAGACTGAATTTATGCAAATTTTCGGTGGTCATTATTTTTGTTTTCTTAATTTTCAACATTAAGGCAACCTTAGCTCTTTCCTCTTAGACTTTGTTTAGTCATTGTTCCATGCCATTGTTGTTTTCTGCTAGTAGTATGGTGCCATCTGCATCTCTTTTAGACTGTGATATTTCTTATTCAGTTCTTCACTCCTCCTTCCTCAAAGTCTAAACCTGCTTTGCATATCATGTGTTCTACATATAAGCTGAATAAGGCATGAAGCAGATGGTCCAAAAAGAGTAGTGGGAGACCATGCCAGCACCGTTTGCACCAGGACTTTGGCAATTGCATGTACCCAGTCCCAATCCAGGCTGCCAATGTGGTCCTGAACTGGGCCGCCAGAAGGAGTGGATTCTATCTGCTCCTTCTGGGTCTGGTTCTTTGCAAATGACATGGTCTTGGCACAGCTTCAGGTCGCATTTGGGGTGTGCATCATATAAACAGCACACCCTGAACGTGGCCTAAAATTGTGTCATTTTGCCTGTGTGTTTTGGGCCTAATTAGGGTGATAAATACAGCTTTGTCTAGAATATAGCCTACAAGAGACACACTGAACAATAGAACTAACATTCTGCATTCCTGGAGGCAGAGGCTGGACCAAAGCCCCTTGTAGTGCTTTCCAACACCATGATTCTATGATGATACAACAGTGTAAACTTACTATTCTGCAACTGATTCAATTGAGACTAGCAACTGGATTCCAGTTGAGACCAGCAACTGGATTAAGGCTACTAAAATACAGTGAGCTCTCTGTATATTTTCAAAAAGGGAGCACATCAGTAAAGTGTATGTCTATTTGTCCCAACAGCTTTACACATAAAATGAAACCTGTGTAGCACCGAGTTACAAAACTCCTTTTTAAATTCCTTTTGGGCATTGATTCCCATAATCTCCCAGCCAGCAAAGCCCGTGTGTGATTTCAATATTTCTTGAGCACTCTCTCTCCTCCTCCCTGACTCCTTGTTTGATGAAAATATCTGCAGATATTAAAAGCTTAACCACAATTTAGGCATAATTGGTTAGTGTTGCCTAATCAGATTTTGGTTTTCAGATGGTAATTTTTTTATCCTTCTTCTCTTTCTGAACCAGAAGAGCTTGTTTTATTTTCATCTTATTTCTGAATTAAAACTGAAGGTTATCTTCTATCTTTAAAATATTTTATACTTTGCAAACATGTGCACAAACAAATTTCCTAATTTTTTCTAAGCCAGAAAAATAACAGTTTTAAAGAGGAACTGCAGCATAACATATATAAATTATGTGATGTTTGTTAAAATATATTTTTAAAAAAGAATTCCTAAATTATGATACATGTGTTGCTATGTGTAACAATAAATATTGGGAATGAGGTATGTTATGGTTGATAGAACTGTCCATATCTACAACAAATTAAATTGAAGTTTCAGTATTGTAAAGAAGAATCTGATATATATCTATGCAGAAGCATTGTATAATATTATTTTGTAAGACTGCAACCTTTATTCCCACACACTTATCTGGAAGTAGGTGATATCAGTAGGACTTACTTCTGAGTAGACACCTAGCTATCTTAAATTGGAATCAAAGTAACAGTAGGGGGAAAACTAGACTTCAGCACTGTCGTAGGGGAAAGAGGTTATGACAAAATTAAGAAAATCTGTGATATTCCACAAGTGCCAGGTTCTAATCAGCAACTAGATATTACAACACATGTGGCCATTCAATTTTCTTTTGTATTCATGGCACTGGAGCTGAATGATGATTTCTTCCTTTTCTACAAACCTCTCTAATTTAGGATATTTATCATCCTTTTAATGAAAGTTGTTTTAATGCAGTTCTTTAGAGCTTGTTTTAAAATCTCCCTTTCTGGCAGGTTCCTTCTCTTACTGTAAAGCAATCATTTCACTTACATTTTTGCTCTGAATGATAAGACCCAAATATAATGACCTATTTTACATACAGACTGGTTTAGACTGCCTCTGAATTTTTAAAAAGTTATTAATAAAGCTAGTTTGTTGTACTTAAAATAATTCCATTCTTCACCACCAACACATCTTTCAGTTGCAAATTGCATATTTTCCCCCTCTTCAGCAAATTTATTTGAATACCAAATATAGAAAAACCAAAGGACTGGCCTCACCATCCACTAAATGTCTGAATAAAACATAGTATACAAGACAAGAAACATTAAGGGAAAAAAACAGGAAACAAGACAGTATGTGATTAAACTTGTCAACACCAGTTTGTTTGTTTCCACATCAAACAGCATTTAGAAACCATCAATATTCTCTGCTCCCAATATCTACAGTTGTTACCCAAGCGAAATCCCAGTGAAGTCAGTAATAGGCGTTTCCCCCAGCTGTTTAAAAATAAATGTATCAGCTTGTCCACATGAGCCTTCCTACACTTTGCAATCTACATCAAAGACTTTGATGTATGTCTTAGGCAAGAAAGGCTAGATTACTGGATGCACAAGACAGGATTTTCTCTGAAACCACAGGCTGAAGTTGGTTTTCAATCCACAGTTTATACTAACAGTGACATCACTAGGGTTTATTCATTTACTCTGTTTATTTATATTCCACCTTCCTCTCAGTACAGGGACTCAAGGCGGCTAACAAATCTAAAACAGTCCAAACATTAAAAATACAAAGTTTAAAAAATAATTAAACAATTCAAACTATTAAATTATTAAATTATTACATTATTAAAGTTTAAAGTTTAAAACTCTTTAAAACAAAAACAAAACAGCATCCATGTCATGTGAAAGCCTGGCGGCATAAAATCATCTTTGCCTGCTGCCGGAAGGAAAGCTGGGATCAACTGGTATAAGAATTCATGGTGTCTCCCTGCCTAGTAATCTCCTCCCATACTATACCCTACAAAATCCTTAGTAACGTTTTTTTGTACTAATGTTATTCATAAATCATAATCCCCATGTATCACTGAATGTAATGGTAATAGTTGTGACATAAACAGCTAGCAACATTGAAAGTATACCTTTAAATTACAATATCACAAGCACAGCCTAAAGGTATTTACATGTACATAGTTTAAAGTGAAAATTTGATAAGATGTGATTTTTTTTAAAAAGACAAAACCTAAAAGAATAAAAAAACTTAATTAAAATTTTAAAATATTATTTAAAAACCTGGGTCTTCTTCTTTCTCCTCCCACTGAGCCTCATCCCACTAGCACCATCTCCACAGTATTTTACAGGGACACCCATATGTCAAAAGGCAAATATATGGGGAGCAGTGGTGCCACCCCCACTTAGGCTGTCATCTGGTGTGGAGCAGCATCCCCTATAGTTTAAAATAACAATACAGTTCAAACAATAAAAATAACACAGAGCCATTCTAAAAGCCCTGTCTTTAAAAACCTTCACTTTTCAAAACCTGTCGGAATAAATAAATATGTGTCTGGGTGAAATAAATAAACTATAAGCAAAATTTTGTGTGAATTTGTTAATGTCAGGCCAGTGTGGTGTAATGGTTTGAGTGTTGGGCTATGACTCTGGAGACCAGGGTCCAATTCCCTGCTTGGCCGTAAAACCAACATGCTCTCAGCCTCAGGGAAAGGCTATGACAAACCTCCTCTGAACAAATCCTGCCAAGAAAACCCCATGATAGGGCTGCCATAATTTGGAAAGAACATAAACACATAACAACAAAATGCACCAAAAATATTCAGGATTTTTTGTTGTAGTGGTTTGACTGTCGGACTAGAACTCTTAAGAGAGCAGAGTTTGAATCCTTCCTTGGCCATGGAAACCAAATGGATCACGTTGGGCATGTCACACTTTCTAAGCCTCAGAGGAAGATAATGGCAAACCTTTCGCAGAACAAATTTTGCAAAATAATAATAATAATGATACATTCACTTTGTGGTTGTTATCAGACAGAAATGAGCACATAACAAACTCCCAGATCTGCCTCCCTTTGGCCTGGCCTCTGTGCAAGACGCCTTTATGTAGGTCCAGTGGATATATTAGCATTCTTATCTTGCCCTTGTTTTGGGAAGCCAATAAGCCTTTCCCATAAAGATTAATATGAAAGAGTGGAGAATCCCTGGCACCCATGGCAGTCAGTGGGGACATGTGCCAAAAGAAGAAATGTGCTTCAAATCACAGCCAGTAATGATCCAAGATGAGCTAATCTACTGATAGGTAGGCTTCACACTGACATGATCAATTCTGACCTTATTTGCTTGTCTGCTTCTTCTAAAGCTAATTTCCAAGGTCCACCATCCAGAACCAAGTATAAAATAGCTGAAGCAAGAGTAATAGATATAAAGTTAGAATTAAGGGGGCAGAGCTCAGAAAAGTGACTTTTTAGACTACACGTACCAGAACCATGGTTGGACCCTAAACATTGTAATCCAAAAACTAGTATTTTTAAGCTAGAGATATCAAAGCCCAGAAGAAAAAACTAAAAAGGGGGCATTTTCTAAAAAATGAACTAACAAATAATTTCTTTTTTCAGATGGCAAAAATTAAATAACATGTGCTTAAGTAGCATCTGATTTTATTTTATGTTGTTAAATCATTAAAATATGTTTCAATGTGATATGAAAATAAATATAGCATATATTACAACTTCCCCCAAACTTCCTTTTTTTCAGGAAAAAATTTGATTGTGTTGAAATCCACATCATTAAAAACACTCTTAAATGTGATTTCTATATAGCATTTATTTATTTATTGCTAAAGCTGTTTTATTTTTCTGGCCTGTTTACTCATCTCTTCTCCCTTGCTTTTATTCCTCTTGTTGATTTGCTAAATAGTCCAGCCAAATATTCCTTAGAGATAGACAAGCTAATAGTTGCTTATTCTTTGTGTAAAGCCATAATACTATATACACACGTGTAAGCACATTCATCTGAAATCAGAGGAAAAGAGTAGCAAAGTTTACTGAAACCATAGACACTGTTGAGTACAAATAAATCTTATGCACAGCAATTTTCAAGAACATTTCACTGAGTTCAATGAGAGTTTTTGAATCCCAAGGAGGTGTATATAGATTTGTAGCTTTAAACTGCAAATCCCACAGGCTTCAGTGCATTTCATTTAATGACATGCTTAGTTTTCTTTCTCAGAACAATAGCATAGCCTCCCTGTAACCTGGTGCTGTCCAAATATGTTGGGCTATACATCATCATCTCCAGTTAGTATGGGCCCCAGCACACAAGAAGGGAGGTTAGGTGAGGTTGCAACTGATATTTACACTGTTTCAATTCATCTGGGTTGTCTAGAGCAGGGGTAGGCAACCTTTTTGAGCCGGGGGCCGTGTTGCTGTCTCTCAGACAATTGGAGGGCCAAAGCACCAAAAATAAATAAATAAATAAATAAAAATAAAAATAAATAAAAAATTAAAAAATATGCATGCACACTCTCTCAGCCCCAGAAAAGCCATGGCAAAACACCTGTGAGAATTTTGCCAAGAAAACCCCAGGAACAAGTAATAACAACAATAATCAATATCATCATGGTGGGCGGCGGCGGCGGCAGGACCAGCCTGGGGCCGGTCCAAAGGAGGTTGCCTATCCCTGGTCTAGAGTGTAATTAATGCAGAGCAAAAATCCTGAAGCACACTGGCATTAAACTGCCATAAGCATGGTTAATTTTTTTTTAACTGTATGCAGTGGAAATGAAGGAATAAATTTCTCATATCTCTAATTTTTATATAGGAAGATTCTGAAATATATGCATTGCAGAAGACTTGTCATACCCATATGTTTAAAAGTATGCCTATAGTTTTCATCATCCACCCACAGGCCTCTATTTAAAGGGGTGTAGAATGTATTTTTTTTAAGTGCTATAGGCTAGGACTTGCCAAACTGGCTGCTAGCCTAGAACAGTTAAAAACACACACGTACATTTGGCTGTGCTAATGTTCTACCACTTTCTGACATGTTTACTGCTGCTCTTAAGAATACTATACTATCAGCTAAACTTTTAGAGAGATCAGTTCTGTAATAGGCAATAAATATAAATACTCTTAAAGATTGATAATGTTTACACAAGCAGTTGTTTAGGCTTTAATGCCCTTTAAGAAACAAATGGCTGTATGCTCAATAACTGGTGGTTCTGTAAAACTTAAAAACCACAGCTCCAGCATATGGAGCTTAGAGTTAGATAGGACAGTGTGTTCTTGATGGTAATGAGCTGCTAATGTATAGTTCCAGAGAAAAAGTATAGGGAGGCATGCATGAAACAGTTTTATTGGCATAAGATTGTGTGTGTGTGTGTGTGTGTGTGATTTTCAAATAAGAGGAAGGCAAGGGCAACCTCCTTTTGAATGAATCTTGTCAAGAAAACCCAGTAATAGGGTCACCTTGGGGTTGTGATAGATCAGAAATGATGTGAAGCCACACACCAAAAACAACAAAGGAGAGGTTCAATCTTGGAGCGCAACTCCTGTTTGGGGAAGGTCTAACCTCTCTCTGCACCCTTTCTTTTTTATATCAGTTTGAAATTAAAGGGATGTTTTAGGCAAGTGGCTGAGAGACTACCTCCAGTGCAGGAAAGTAGCCATGCTATATAAGGACTTCCAGAACCATATTTGGAGATCCCGCTGGCTCAGCATAGGGAAAGCCAGAGCACTTCACCAGGATAGATCAATTAAGATCAGAATTTACATAATCCCTTCATTGATAGGAGTAATGGAGGGTAATAGACCTTGTGCCTAAACATGAACAGTAGTCCAAGATTACCTACCTCTGGGAGTGAGACCTCTTTGTCTAGGGATATTCATGGTGATTGTCTAGCCATTTATAGACTTCCAATTCCATTCTTCCTTCATGGGAACTTCACCTTAATCATAAAACTGCCCCAGGATACATTTTACCCTGTACATATACCTTGCTCAGGCACTACCAAATTGTTCTGAGGTCAGATAGACACTCTGTCTGTATCTCACCTGACTCCTCAGCAATCACAGGCCAATGTGGATTCACAGGCAGTGTGCTGAGCCACCTTCATCTTACAGAACCTCCTGACTGGAACCTCTGCTTCTGGAATCAGGTACAGTATCACCCTCTGCAGTTCTGAAAATCACTATCTGCTACCACCTTTTATATCTTAGTTCTTGCATGTGTGTGAAAGCTGATTTCCTTTTTCTGTTATAAATAAAATTGCATTGCACCTTGCATTCTGGAGTTGATCCCTGCTTTTAGTTGCCCAAAGCCTTCCCAGAAGCTTTAAGTGAGTTAATACAATTCCCCCAATTAAATATTGATTGTGGGTGGCCTCTGGAACCCTGGCATTTTAAGTAACAGAGAGCAAGAAGGGAAATAATTATGCATTATTTTCTGTATAGTTTTCAGAGTAATGGCCATCCTATTTTCCAAAGGGCATATCTGTGCTATTATAAAGTATCAGTTTTATGATGGGTGAAATGATGATGGTACAAGCTTGCCAAATTTAATTGCTCTTGACTCTGAAGCAATTAGCAGGAGATACAATCCATCTCCATGCTGTGAAAGGCCTCCATTGATAATACAGCCTCACTTAAGATGGTCTTCAAGGCAGAACTTATAAACTTGGCAATCCCAATCATGGCTTCTTACAGGGAAATGATGAAACATAGCATTTTAAATATTTTTAAAATTTGTACTTCAGGTATAGCCTAGAACATATTTTGGCTATACCTACAGTAATACTTAATATGAAATAAAATGTGTATTTTAAAAAATGAAATACAGAGCAACATGTTTAGTTACTTTTGAGAAACTAGAAACTAAAGATATATTTCTTCAAAGCTGTAACTGAAGTGATATGCTATATTTCTTTTGGAGCTTGGGAATTATAACTGTTATATATTATTTTTAAAGTAACTTCCAAACTCTACTTTTTGTACTTTGAGACACTGGCTGCTGCCACACAGCAGAATATATGCAGTCTGACACTGCTTTAACTGTCATGGCTCTATTCTGTGGAATCCTGGAATTTGCAGTTTGTTGTAGCACCAGCGCTCTCTGACAGAGAAGGCTAAACTACAAATCCCAGGATTCCATAGCATTGAGTTTGGCAGTTAAAGCTGTCTCAAACTGCATCGATTCTACAGTGTAGAAGCAGCTTCTCTGTCTGTCGCTCTCTCTCTCTTTCTGCCAGAGAAACACATAAAAAAGGAGGGCCGAAGGACTTCAGCTCCCAGAATCCCAGGAGCTATTGGCCAACATGGGACTATTGGCCAACATGGCTGAGACTTCTGGGAGCTGAAGTCCCTCAGCCCGTAAAGGGGAAAGGTTGCCTACCCCTGCTCTAAAGTAAGACTGATAATTTCTCCCTGCCACCCAGCCATTTTTTCCACAAAGTTACCTTTTTCATGCAGGAGCTTAAAAAGAAATGGCAACACACACTTCAATTGAAGCTATTATTCAAAAAGACAATAATGCTAGGAAAGGTAGAGGGCAGTAGAAAGGGAGGAAGACCACATGCCAGTTGGTTAAACTCAATTTAAAAACTCATGGGCCTGAGCCTGCAAGACCTGAGTGGAACAGTGGAGCACAAGTGGTCTTGGAGATGTCTCATCCATGGTGTCTCCATG